AAGTCTTCATATGAGTGAAGTCATATGATATTTGTCTTTCTCTGACTGGCTAATTTCACCCAGCATAATACCCTCCAGTTCCATCCACATAGTTGCAAATGGCAAGATTTCATTCTTTTTGATTGGAGTAATATTCCATTGTATATATATACCACATTTTCTTTATCCATTCATCCGTCAATGGACATTTGGGCTCTTTCCATCCTTTGGCTATTGTCGATAGTGCTGCTATAGACATGGGGGTGCATGTGTCTCTTCGAAACAGCACACCGGTATCCCTTGGATAAATGCCTAGTCGTGCAATTGCTGGGTCGTAGAGTAGGTCTATTTTTGGTTTTTTGAAGAACCTCCATACTGTTTTCCAGAGTGGCTGCACCAGCTTGCATTCCCATATACACAGAGAATCTTAAGCATATATACACAGTTTTGAGTTGTGCCTTTTTTCCTTAATGAATTACAGATCTATTTTTCCATGTAATTATATGTATGTTGTCTTCATAAGTCATTTTAAATGTACTATAATTTATTCAGTCTGCCTCCTGTTAAACATTTTAGTTTTTCTTTTTTTAAATAATATTTTTAGTTTATTTGTTTATTTTGAGAGAGTGAGAGAGAGATCAGGGGAGGGTCAGAGAGAGAGGGAGAGAGAGAAGACTCCAGACAGGCTCTGCTCTGTCAGCGTGGAGCCAGATGCAGGGCTTGAACCCACAGACTGTGAGATCATGTCCTGAACTTAAACCAAGAACTGGATACTCAATCATTGAGCCACCCAGGTGCCCCCATTTTAGTTATTTTCAATTTTTAAAAAATGTTTTAAAGTTTATTTTTGTGAGAGAGAGAGAGAGAGAGTATGAGTGGGGAGAGGGGTAGAGGGAGATAGGGAGACACAGAATCTGCAGCAGGCTCCAGGCTCTGAGCTGTCAGCTCAGAGCGCCGGATATGGAGCTCGAACCCACGAACTGTGAGATGGTGATCTGAGCCAAAGTCGGATACTCACCCGACTGAGCCACCCTGGTGACCCAATTTCTTTTTTTCTCCCCAATACTTTTATTTTTATTTTAAAACTTTTCTTTTCTTCTTTTTTTTAATGTTTATTTATTTTTGAGAGAAAGAGAGCACAAGTTGGGGAGGGGCAGAGAGAAGGAGACCCAGAATCTGAAGCAGGCTCCAGGCTCAGAGCTGTCAGTGCAGAGCCCAATGCAGGGCTCAAATCCATGAACTGTGAGATCATGACCTGAGCCGAAGTCAGACACTTAACTGCCTGAGCCACCCAGGCGCCCCAGTTATTTTCAATTTCTTACTTTAATAAGCAACACTGTGGAAAATTCTGCATAAGGGATTTTTCGTATCTTATGTTCTTTTGATTGCTAAGAGGTAGAATTCACTGGGTCAAGGTAGAATTTTTGTTTAGGGGTCTTGACCCATAATCATGTTGTTTTACAGATGGGCAATTACATTTATTGTATTAGAAAGCAGCAGTGTCAAAAAGGGAGACAACCAGATATTTTATGTGTTTTGTTTTTTAAAAAAAAACTAAACATCGCCTATGATGCCAAAAAAGGGAATAGGAAAGAATCTGACGAAGCCTCTCTAGGTCCTCAGTAGAAAAGACAGAGGACTGTGTCTGTCTACACCAAAAGAATGCAGTCAGCAAAATCCATAATGTGGAAAACTGTACATAACACAACATTCTGGTTCTTCAACACAACACACAACACACAAAAGATGGAAGGGGTATCTATAGATTAAGAGGCTTCAAAAACATTTTTTTTTTTTTCAAGTCAAAACTAGTGTTTAGGAATGTTCACTTGGGGGTGCCTGGGTGGCTTAGTAGGCTTAGTGTCTGCCTTGGGTTCAGCTCATGGTCTCACGGTTCATGGGTTTGAGCCCCCCACTGGGCTCTGTGCTGACAGCTTGGACGGAGCCTGGAGCCCGTTAAAGACTCTCTATTTCCTTCTCTCTCTCTGCCCCTCCCCCCCTCAAAAATAAATAAACACTAACAAAAAAATTTAGACAGGAATGTTCACTTGGACGATAAAACTATAAAGAAAGTAAGGAAATGATTATTAAAAATCAGGATAGTGGTTACTCTTGGGAGGAGAGTGGGCATTGTAATGGGATTTTTTCTATTTTATATGAATAATAATAAACATCATAAATATGAGTACAAGAGCAAACATTTTCTCCTGTTTTTCCCCCATAGGAGAATATACATATTCAGGAAGAGATAGTTTGATTTTTTTGGTTGATGGTTCTAAGGCCATGTTTGAATCTCAGAGTGAAGTTGAACTGACTCCTTTTGACATGAGCATCCAGGTAAGACTACCTTTTATTTAATTTAAAAAAAGAAATGAAAGAAAAAATTATTAACACCACTTTAAAAATTATGCACTCTGAAAATTTGTTGGTGAATGATAATTAGTGGTTAGCCTCCCAGGAATGCTACCTATACTCTGAGATAAAAAAGGGTAGCAGTGCTGGAGAACAGGCCTGTTTTATTTTGTGTTTGAACTTCAGACCCTAGTAATACGTTGCTCCCACCTTCTGTGTTAGCTCTGGTAGCACAGGAAGGCTCCTCCTGTAGAGGTGTGAGTGTGAACGAAGAAAGAAAGTTCCAGCAGATACGGTGTCAAAGTGAGTCTTCTTGTAATTGGTATTTGGAAGTTGAGTATTACCTGTGGTTGAAAAATACTACAACAAAAAGACAATCTAATTTAAAAATGGACATAGACTTGGGGCACCTGGGTGGCTCAGTTGGTTAAGCGTCCTACTTCAGGACACTCAGGTCATGATCTCGCGGTTCGTGGGTTCGGGCCCCACATCAGGCTCTGCTGACAGCTGAGAGCCTGGAGCCTGCTTCAGATCCTGTGTCCCCTTTCTCTCTGCCCCTCCCCCATGCGTGCTCTGTGTGTCTCTGTCTCTCCCTGTCTCTCAAAAATGAACATTAAAACATTTTTTAAAAAATGGGCATAGGACTTGAATATACATTTCTCTAAAGATACACAGATGGCCAAGGAGCCCACAAAAAGACCCACAACATCTGTAGTCCTTAGAGAAAAGCAAACTGACACCACAGTGAGGTATCACAAGTCACTAGCATGGCTATAATATAGAGAGGAAAAAAAGGATACTAAGAAGTGTTGGTGGGGCGCCTGGGTGGCTCAGTCAGTTAAGCATCCAACTTTTGCTCAGGTCATGATCTCACGGTTCGTGAGCTCGAGCCCCGTGTCGGGCTCTGTAATAACAGTTCAGAGCTTGGAGCC